TGAAGTTTCACTCTTGTTGCCCAGGCTGGAGGGCAATGGTGAAATCTCAGCTCATTGCAACCTCCACCTCCCAGGTTCAAGAGATTCTCCTGCCTCAGCCTCCCAAGTAGCTGGAATTACAGGCATATGCCACCATGCCCAGCTAATTTTTGGTATTTAGTAGAGACAGGGTTTCACCATGTTGGTCAGGCTAGTTACGAACTCCTGACCTCAGGTGATCCACCTGCCTCTGCCTGCCAAAGTGCTGGGATTACAGGCGTGAGCCACAGTGTCTGGCCCATTTTTTATTTTTTGAGACAGTGTCTTGCTCTGTTGCCAAGGCTGGAGTGCAGTGGCATGGTCTCAGCTCACTGCAACCTCCACCTCCTGGATTCAAGCAATTCTCCTGCCTCAGCCTCCTGAATAGCTGGGACTACAAGTGCACACCACCATGCCCAGCTAATTTTTGTGTTTTTAGTAGAGACAGGGTTTTGCTATGTTGGCCAGGCTGGTCTTAACTCCTGACCTCAAGTCATCACCTGTCTTGGCCTCCCAAAGTGCTGAGATCACAGGCATGAGCCACTGCACCCAGTCATCTCCTGCAATGTTCTACCATGATTTTTAGCTTCCTTGCATTGGGTTATGACACACACTTTTAGCTCAGCGAACTTCATTCCTATCCATATTCTGAATTCTACTTCTGTCATTTCAGCCATCTCAGCTTCAACCTGTTTCCTCACCCTTGCTGGATAGGTGATGTGGTCATTTGGAGGAAAGAAGGCATGCTAGCTTTTTGAGTTTTCGGCCTTCTTGCATTGATTACTTCTTGTCTTTGTGGGCTTATCTGCCTTCAGTCTTTTAGATTTCTGACTTTTGGATTTTTTTTCTTTTAACAGTCTGGCCACTTTTCTGTAGGCCTGCTGCAGTATGCTGGGGGCCCACTCCAGTCCCTATTCACCTCAGATTTTCCAGTACCTGAAGCTGTCACCAGTGAAGGTTGTGAAACAGCAAAAGTGGAAGCCTGCTCCTTTATCAGAGAGCTCCATCCTAGGGAGGTACAGACCTGTTGCTGGCCCAAATGCACCTGTGGGAGGTGACTGGTAACCCTGGATGGGAGGTCCCTTCCATTCAGGAGGAACAGGATTGGGGACCTGCTTAAAAATGTAGTCTGGCCATGTTTTTGTTGAGTAGCTGTGCTGGGCTAGGGGCACACTTTAGCCCCTGGTCATCTCTGAAGGCTGAAGGCTGGAATGGCTGAGTCACCTGAACAGCAAAGATGGTGGCCTTCCTTTTGTCCTGGAAGCTCTGTCCCAGGGAGGCCTGAAACCTCTGTCAGACAGAGAACACTGGTGGGGGTAGCTGAAGACCCTGGTTGGGTGGCTCTACCTGGTGATAAAGAGCAAGTTTGGGGACTGACTTAAGAAAGCAGTCTGGCCATGTTTTCGGAGGCTGCTGTGCTGTGCTGGTGTACCACTTCTGCCCCTGGTAGCCTCAGACACACCAAAGCTTGAAGACTAGAACTGCTGAGATGTCCAACAACAAAGATGGTGGCCCACTCCTCCCTTTGGGAGTTTTGTCCCAGGGAGTTTTCAAATCTTTGTTGGCCAGAGAACACCAGCAGGGGTTGCTGAAGGCCCAGTTGGGAGGTCCCCCACCATTGAGGAGGAACGGATTGGGGGAAGGAAACAGTCTGGCCATGTTTTGGTAGAGCAGCTGTGCTGTGCTGGGGGATCCCTTCTGCCCCTGGTCAGTTTGGACTCTCCAAAGCCCACAGGCTGGAATGGCTAAGTCACCCAAACAACAAAGATGGAGGCACGCCCTTCCCCGTGGGTGCTCCATCCCAGGTAGGCGCCACACTGCTACTGGTGACTGGCTGGAATTCCAAGCCAGTGGATTTTATCCTGTGAAGTGCCATGGACATGGAACCTGCAGACCTTCCCTGCTCAGCCCCCTGGTTTCAGCCTCTTTCCTAGGGGTAGTAGGAGTTCTAATCTCCTACTTTGCTGGAGTTGCAGTTACTTTTGCTGGGAAGCCCAGAGCCAGAGTATTTAAAGCTCCCTGGTCTCCACATGTGTCTGAATGGCTGCTCTTTCAAGACTCTGCATAGCTCTGTGTGTCAGACTGAAGGCCTTGGTGGAGTGGGTTCATGAGGGGATCTTCTGACCCAAGGGTTGCAAAGATCAGTGGGAGAGGCATGGGTTTCTGGGGCTGTACATTTACTCACTGCTTTCCTAGGAGGGGGAGCTTCCCTTGGCTTCGTGTCGCTCCTGGGTGGGCCATCATCCCACTTTGCTTTTCTTGACCTTTGTGGGTCAAGTTGTTTCCTTGATTAGTCTCAATGCAAGTACCTGGATATTTCAGTTGAAGGTGCTATATTTACTCACCCCTTCCATTCCTCTCCATGAGAACCATCCACCCTAGCTGCTTCTAATTGGCCATCTTGGCCACTCCACCTCTCATTTGCCTAACTCACTATTGAGATCTTTAAGTAAACTTTTGTTGAAGTATACTGTATATACAGAAAAGCGCACAAGTGATCAGCTCAGTACATTATCACAAAGGGAGCAAGAAATAAACATGAACCACACACTGGAAGCTCGCTCTAAGCCCCCATCTACTCACTAATGCATCCCAAGGGTAACCACTATTCTGACTTGTAAAAATATAGATCGTTTTGAATTTTAAAAAAACTTTAGGTAAGCAGAATCATACAGTATATATTATTTTGTGTCTATTTTTTTTTTGCTAACATTGTCTGTGAGAATAATCCATACTGTTGCATGTAGAGTATTCATTGCCATTTATGTATGTACTGTATTTTATGCATCCATTCTGTTGATGATGGATATTTAGATTGTTTCCAACTTGGGACTATTATGAATAGTGCTGCTATGAGCATTCTTATACATGTCGTTTGGTAAATATATGCATACATTTCTCTTGGGTGTAATGTCATAAATTGTGCATATTTTTACTCTGAAAACAAAATTAGGGGGTAGAGCCTGGAGTATAGTGAACTCAGCAAGGCAAATGCTATCTTATAGGGCTCTGTTGGGAAAACTAGGTGGTCTTGTCCAAGAGACAGCTCTGTTAATTTCCATGTCCCACTGACCTTAACACTTGACATTTCAGCTAGAGTGGGTATTGCCTTAAATACTACTCTCTGAAATAACCAGTGGTGTCATTCTAGCAAGTATCACTCCAGAAAACTCCTTATACATACAAAGGTGTAAAAGTATTTTTAAAAGGTCATTATTTCCAAGAAGAGTGAGCAGAGGCAAGAAAAATATAATTAAAAATATTTAGTTCTCCATTCTTGTTTTATGAAATCTGCTTTTTCATGGATCTAAGCAAGATGATAGATATTAGTTGCTGAGGGGAGGGGAAGTAAAGAGATGGGCTATTGCCCAGTATTCTAGGATGAAGATAAAGAAGTATAAATACAAAGAGACAGTTGCTCCAGGAGAAGATAAGAAAGTATCAGAATAAGTTTTGTCTCTGGAAATCAGAGAAAAACAAATTCCCACAAAAAGGTAATGCATTTTCTTTTGGATTCCAGGATTGGCGAAGAAAAAAATGAGTGACAGGTCTGGTGTGCTGGGGGGAAGAGGGAGAGGGAGGCACACTCTTGCATCACTACTGGTGACAACCATGGCTCATTAGTGACATATATTTCAGGTGACCAAGATCTGTGGTAAAGTCAAGTCTTTTTGATCCAGCCATCAGCTCTCTGCTGTTGACCTCAGAGAGGCATCTTTGTAGATGAGTGAAGAAAGAAGAAACTGCTCTGGTTATGTGCAGGTTGGTGTGAGAATGATTGCCTAGGAAGTCTTAGGGTCAGGATTGGGACAGAGTCATCTTCCCCTATACTCTCGCCCCACCCACCAGCTTATTTTAGTTCTCTAAATGGTGCATAGGATCCGGGGGAGAGTTGGTGTTGGGGACCTGAGAGTGAGAGATGAGAAATGTTTGACAGATAGAGTCCAGAATCAGTAAAAGGTAGGAACTGTGGCCTATCACCCAGTGCTGTGTTCGCCGACCCTACTGATAGATACTGGTTTGTTTGTCTGTAGGGGGCAGTGCAACCCAAGAAAAAGGAAGAAGAAAATTACAGGTTATTTGGTAGAGACTGAAGCAAGAGTGTATTCCTTCAAGGAAATGTGGAGCCAGAACCAGTCACAAGAGGGTGGTACACACAAGTGCTAAACTGGAACTTGCCCTTCTACTCCTGTCTTGTTTTCAGAAAACCCTTAATCCCAATCCTTTATGGCTCTGGGAAAGCAGTGTCAAAATCTATAGGGCAGAAAGGGGAGTGAGGTGAGGTAGAGCAGAAAAGTGGGCATTCATGGGAGAAGGGCAAGGGATAAAGTGGCAGGAAGCCAGGGTGGGAAAGATGGGTGTGCCTGAGACCTAAATGGGAGACTTTGGAAAGTTACATTCCTCACTCTGGAGTGGATGCACCTGAAACTTACATGTGAGTGCATTTGCCAATCTCTATTCTCTTTTCTCTGTCTAGCTGTAGACAATAATCTAAGTAAGGGAGGAAAGAAATTGCCCCACACAGTGTGATATGCTGGAGATAAGGGGTAGAAACGAGGTGTCTGAGGCAGACTACAGAGTCCAGAGGCAGTTTAGCTTCTCCCTCTCACAGCCTTTGTTCTTTTCTCCTCTTACATTGGTGCTGGAAAAAGATAAATGCTGCACCTCTGAGCTTGAGGGAGGTAAAACCCCAGAGGAGGAATATTTGAAAATTAAGACCTTAAATCCGGAAATAGAGATACTGATACCCTTGTAACCTGTGCATTGACATGTCTCTTTGGGGAGACTCATCTAAAAGCTCTATGTGTTTGCATGGCTGCTAGGTCCATGTTGGATGGCAATTAGATTGATTGTGTCCAGGAAAAGAATGTGTAACAATCTCCTTCCTAAAATGCCACAACTAGATCACCTTTTAAAGAGTGAGGCCCATCTGTGACTTGCATTAGATGTGGGATATACATTGACTGACGAATATGTGAAAGATGATATGGAAATCTGGTCTAGAAGTTGACACACTGTTCATCCACTTATCAGAAGAAGGCACATCCAAACAAGAAAAGACGAATATTGCGGGGGAGCTGCAGACAGTGGGGAAGAAAGGTAAGGCCCATGATCTGCAGTCAAGAGTTGAGGATGAGCCAAGCCCTGGGGATTAGTCTGACAAAATCATGGGCAGTAAGAACTCACAGCCTCTCCAAAAGCAAACCATACAAATAAAAATGAATCACCTATTCCCCAATGAAAATTTTTAAAATGCTGGATATGCTCAAAACTTTAAAAAAGGTAGTTGTGTTCTGGACCTCTCCAAGTGTCTTTTCATTCAGGGAAAACTGTTGTTTGCTGAGCCCAAGGATGCGGGCTTTCCATTTAGCCAGGATATCAATAGCCATTTGGCCAGTCTCTCAATGGTTAGAAACACGGGCCCCACACCAGACCCCACTGTTAGAGAGGCTTTGTGTGCCACGGATAACTTAAATGCCAGCATTGAAAGTGAGGGCCAGATTAAGATGTACATCAATGAAGTGTGTCAGGAGACTGTGTCACATTACTGCAACTCATTTCTGCAGCAGGCCGGATTAAATTTGTTAATAAGCATGACAGTTATTAATAACATGCTTGCCAAGTCCGTTTCAGACTTGAAGTTTCCTTTGATATCAGAGGGAAGTGGATGTGCTAAGGTTCAGGTTTTGAAACCACTGATGGGTTTGTCTGAAAAGCCAGTCTTGGCAGGGGAGTTAGTCGGTGCCCAGATGCTCTTCTCATTCATGTCCCTCTTTATCAGAAAAGGAAACAGAGAGATTCTCCTGGAAACCCCTGCCCCATAAACAGCCCTCTGGAACACAATGGGACGGAATCCACCCACAACGCGCTTGGTTTGCAGATGTCAAAGAATCTGCAGAGGGTGCTACTGAAGATCCAGCCTTAGCCAATCACCACCTCATTGGGTGAAAGTTCCAGGGCTCAATCCAGGACCACACTCTTATTGGCCAGGCAGGGGCTCCCACAGAGCTTTGAGTAACTTGTTGGTTGTGCAGTCTGCAGGCAATGTTGGCACTGTAAATTCCTCCCTTGCAGCCTCCTTCATGTGGTGAGGGGATCACTTCAGCTGCCTGCTGTGGACAAAGAACATCAAATTACAGCTATTGTTGCCTGTGGTGGTTTCCCTGTCCAAGCAGAACCGCTTTGCAGAGACCAGACGCATATCGCAGCTTGAGCTGAAAATGTATTTGTTGCAGCTTAGGTTGAATTATTTTTCGTTTACTCTTTCTTCTACACGCGCCTGATGGATAGTGAACCTATTCATCAAAAAAGTGCACTGCTCTTCTGTCTATTGTACCGACTTAACCTCTTCCACCCAAGTCCGCATCTGTGTGTATCATCAATAAAGTTGTGTGCTTTGATTGGCAGAAAAGAGTCATGGTCCTTGTCCTTGAGTTTACAGTCTGCACTGAGAGAAGGACAAAAAAAGCACGATAAACGCCAGCTGACTGGGACTTCTGTTCCCTGACAAATGCCGGCTTATCGGTGCTCACAGGAGGCAGGGATAGAGAGGGGCTGCAGTGCTCAGAATAAACTTCAAGAAGGGGCTGGGGGCGGGGGTGGGAGGAAGGGAGGAGCACAGCGGGGGAGTTCGTGGAATTAGGATGGAATGTTGAGAGGACTGAAAGAGAAAACACCCGTGGAGCAGGCAGCACCGTGCCCGGCACAGAGAAATCTCTTCTTAATGTCTTTTCCTTGACTGCCAGCCTGGAAAGAAAGGTCAGTAACCCCGGCCTTTTCGTTTGTCTGCGCATCCCGACGTGGGGATGGGGACCGGGGTGGAGCGGGTGGGGGAGCTCTACCACGCATCGGGGCGCATTTATTGCACAAAGGTTGCCGCTTGCCCAGCACCTACCCTGTGTAGTTCTGTCCCTCCTGCGAAGCCACGGGGAAATCTGCTTCCAGCCCTCCTTCTCTCTTCCTTGGGATCCCCGGCGCTACTTCCTGACAGAGTGAGAGGGTTGGCCGCTGCTCCCTTTGGAGCAACCTCCTTTCTTCCATATCCCCACTACCTTTGGTGGGACCCTGGAAGGGGACAGTGGAGCCTTCCATCAACTACCCGCGGGGGTGATAGGGCAAATGCTGAGGGCACTTGGCACGACCGAGGTCACTCCATCCATCCGGAGACACCTCCACACTCTCCATCTGAGGTCCCTGCACTTTGCCAGGAAAGGAAGAGCCCGTGGGCACAGAAGCACTCCATGGGTCAGGGCAGCTCGTTCTGCCCCTGACCCGCCCCCATCTCCAACATTACCAGATCCTGCCCAGCAGGTTTAGCCCCTGAATCAGCAAAGCCAGGTTCCCTGCATGTTTGTGTTGTGTGTGTCAAGAAGTGGTCCCCTTCCCTAAAGCCATGGCAAACCCAGTAAACACATCTGCTTCCTTTGGGCAAGGCTGCTGCCGTGCCGGTACCCTCTCGGTCTCCCAGGGCTGCTGCTGTGGGTCACTGTGTCCTGGGCGGCCGCCATCTCTATGGTGCTGGGCATTGGGCTTGTTCTCTTCCACACAGAACAAAGCTTTCTTTTCTTGTCTTATTCTCCCTTCCCCGCGCAGCTTGGGTTCCAGGTGGGTTACAACTTTCCTGCTTGTACCATCTGCCCCACAGTCCATGCTGGCCAGAGGGCCTGAGTGCCTGCCAGGTCCCCTGACCAACTCTGGGAAACCCTCCCACCTGGAATGGGGACCAGGCCTCTTCCCAGGCCCTGGTGTCTGGGACGGCCAACAAACGACTTGCAGTTATTGTGACACCACACCCCCCATCAAGGCTCACACTGCTGGGGCTTCCTTGGCTGGCTCTGGTAGCCCTGTCTCAGTTCCTAAGGGTTCCTAAGAGCTGTCAGAAGGACCACCCTTTCTCCCAAGCCAACCACAGTTTGGCTGGGCAATCTGATTTCAAAGGGGATTTCCCTGCAGACAGCTCCGCAAGCACTTTTCCCAGTGGAGCCTGCTTCACCAACACTGTCTTCAGTGACACCTCATTGCTCAGTCTCTTTGAGCACAAAGGCATCCTCCTAGCCTGTGGTCCGGAATTACCATGCACGTCCCTACTTCCCTGCATGCTACCAAATTTCCCTTTGTGTACACTTGTCCACCATCTCTGAGGCACTTGACACAGTGAGGCCGCAGCTGAGTCCTAACTCAGGGAGCGCCCCAGAGGCTTTCTGCCCATCTCCTGAGCAAACTATGTTACAGAAAAGCCCATCAGCGTCCAAGCGTCTCCACGGCATTGTCTTGGCCCAAGTCAAAACCCTCCTGTCCATTTGCTGGCACTGCCCTCCCAAAAGCACTCACGCACAGCCCTTCTGTCCTGCCCCCTCATCCCCTGACTGGTTGCAGTGCCTGGGTACGAGCCCAGTTCCCGTGGATTCTGCCTCCCTGGGATGCGCAGGGGAGTCGGGAGCATGCCTGCCTCCCAGGGCCTGATCAAGACACTGAGAGGTTCTCAGCACTGGCAAGAGCACCGGTGCCCCCATTCCATATGTAACGCAAACATAAAAACAGCCCCGAGCCATCAATCACAATACATACCTGCCTGCTGCAACCAAAAGACAGTCTTTCTGGGCTTCCCCGTGGCAAACATTGGGAAAGGTCATCAATCCTGAGCTTGCCACATTCTGTGGGGAGTGCTCTGCCTTGATGGTGCCACCCCAGCCTGAGCCTGTCTCTTGTGTCAATCTGGAACTGCTGCCACAGGCTGTCTTCTATCTCCAGAAAGGGCCCCCTGGGTTTTGCTTCTCATCTATCTCATGAGCTCGTTTCCATTTGGTGCCTGTAGGCACTGACTGACTTCCAGACCAACTTCAGGTGCCCTCCCCAGCCTGCGGCCTCTCCTAGGGATTTTGTGGTTTGCCACCCCCACCCCGCCCCCCTCCAGGTGAGTGCACACAAGGTTGCAGACATCCAGCTTCCCGGCAGGCGCGTCCTGTCTCAGACACTGGATCCTCACCGGGGTACTGTACCACTCTCAAAGCAGTGTCCACCACAATCCCCTTACTTTTAAGTGCCACCCTGAACCAACATAGCCCTCACCCAGTCTGTCCCTCTGACGATGCACCACTTGGCAAAGAGTTGGGTAGCTGTGGCGAGGGGTTGCTCTTGCCTCTCTTCTGGGGGACACTGGCTGCTCTATGATGCAGATGGGCACTACACCAGAGTCCAGCAGAGTGCTGCAGAGGGCCGGCCTTTGCCCCATCTGTTACAAATGCCAGATGTGTCTTCTCACTGGCTGCCACTTCCCTACTCTCTGTGATCATGGCCTCCTTTCCATCCTGGAGGTCCATTTTCCCTTACTGCCTCTTGTTTTGGTGTGAAGTTTAGGACAGGCTTTCCCACTTTCCCATGAACACAGTCTCCTTGGCAGTTTTCTCGTTCTTTCACACCTTTCTATTCAGAGTTTTGTCTCATCGATCTGTCTGGAATTTACTTTTGTGCAAGGTGAGAGACAGTGATGTGACTTGACTTCTTTTCCCTCATGATTGGCCGATGAGCCCAGCACCACTGGTTAAGCACTCCGTTCTAGTGCTGTCTGTGGCACGTTCTGGGATCCTCATGTGCCCAGCTGCGCACCCACTCTGTGGTTTCCAAGCATTAAAGTTTCTCCTGAGGCACATCCCTTTCCCTCAGGAACCTCTTATTGACTTGGAGTCCCTCAGCTCACTAGGTGGCCTAAGGCAGGTGGGG